AGATGAGAGGAGTCAGGATTTCCTGTCAAAGGTCGACGCCCTGTTGGAGAAATTCCCGTGTCCAATCGAAGGAGAGCTCCACCCGGAGGTCTGCGCTGAGAAGGCCTGGACCCTGATGAAGTTCGACCCGGAGAAGAAGCTGCAGGCTGCAGAATACTTCCAGAAAGCCATCAGGATGGAGCCGGACAGGAAGGCCTGGAGGACCAGCTTCGTCTTACTGAAATTAGAAACATTTAAGAATATGGATGATGAACTGTTCGCTGAGCTGACATCTGCCAAAGAAGAAGATCCAGAGAACTTGTACCTTCAGGTTCTTTACATGGAAGCTTCGGCAGCCAAAGGAACAAAACTTAAAAAACAAGAAGTGCAGGATTTGTCAGGAAGAGTTTTACGCAGTTCAGCGAGCAGCTACAACGGCCTGGCCCCGTTACTGCGGCTCTACAGGAACTTCCTGTCTGTGGATGAAGCTGTGGGTTTGGCCGAGGAGGCCCTGAGGAGACACCCTGAGGCTCGGTCAGTCATCAGATGTGCTGCTGTCTGTTATAAACACAAGGTCTACTTTCAGAATCCAGACTCCAGAACCATCAGCAGGGCTGTCGATCTCTTCCAGAAGCTGATCGAGATTTATCCACACTTTTCAATGAAAACCCATTTAAGTCTGGCATCTATTTATTCCAAACTCTCTGAAGAGAAAGCTGATCAGATCTACGAGGAGCTCCTGGAAAACCAGGAACTCCTCAAGGATCTGGAGCCATTCGATGTGCAGATGCTTTACTTACGCTACGCAAARTATCTTTTCTTCGTTAAAAAACAGAAAGACGAGTCGTTGAAGAACCACATGAAGGTGGTAGAGATACCACACCAATCTGATCAACGTGAGAAAAGCCTRACAGAGCTGAAGAAGGCCATCAAAAGAAACAAAAACTCTCAAATCTGTGACAAAATTGAGGAGTTTTTGGAGAAAATGAGTTTAAATGACTGAATCTGGAACAATGTGGAGGTTTATGGTGTGAAAACATCTGGAACTAAATAAAGTTTTTTTGGGATTGATTGATGTACTATATGCTCGAATTTCTCTGAAAATTTTTTCAAAATGATGGGAAAAGTTTACAGGTACAAAGTTCAAAAATATTCTGTCATCTGATTAAATAAAGGTTTATGAATTTGTTTTAGTCTTTTTGTCTCTTCTCTTGTTTATTTAATTGTTGAAGAAAAGTTTTAATATTCTTTCATTCTACAAATGTTAAAAATTATAAATTTTAAGACCCCTTATGACAAACACCATAAAAGGACTCAGTGTTCCCTCACCTGGGTCACCGGGGCCACACTCTGGAGCCAGGACTGGAGGTGGGGCAGGTTGGTGAGGGCCTGGTGGCTGGGCTTACACCCATGGAGCCCAGCCGGGCACAGCCTGAAGAGGAGACGTGGTCCCCCTTCCCATGGGCTCACCACCTGTGAGGATGGACTACTGACACCTGCTGGACATTAAAAATCACTACAGGCAACCTAGCTGACAGACTCAACTGACACTGATTGGATGTCCTATACAATAATGTAATTTAAAAAATAATAATATTAATATAATTTAAGCCATTGTGCTTTATATTGTATTATTTCATACCTTCGTTTACATTTAAAATATCTTCAATATTTTTAGATACAGTATAAATAATGTGAACATGTTTCATAACATGAAAATCTAAGTGAGCATGTTGTGAGTGAGGATGCTTGTTGACAAGGACTTTTTTTTACAAACTTATTAGAAACGTTTTTCCAATATTTTCAAATTGAGTCTGTTACGCTTATATATATA